AAAAAAAAAAGAAAAAAAGTAATAACTTAAAGAATCTTTGTGTTGGCAGTAATATTTACAAATTAGAATCACTTAATTAATTATACTCCCATGTTTCAAGGAAAATGAGAGGGTCTTAAGGTTATACTCCTATGTTTCAAGGAAAATGAAAGGGTCTTAAGGTAGTGGAGAAGAACCTGTCAGTGAGGTAATTAGTATACTTCAATGTTATTGGTGTATACATGTATTGATCTTCTAATTATGACAATTAAGTTGTAGAGTGATATATAAATGTATTGACTTTCTAATTTTGATAATTCTTCCATTGGTATATATGTGTATTGACCTTCTAATTTTTATATTCTTCTATTAGTATATACATGTATTGACCTATCAATTTTAGTACATGAGTTGCAAAGAGAAAATTTAGCTTAAAAAAAGAGAGATAGTAAAACAATGGCAGATCCATGAGAGAACTTGACAAATCATTTAAATTAATTAAAATTCAATACAAAATAATTTAAATAATTTAATTCGTAGTAATATATTTACAAAACAACATAAAATCTCAAGAGAAATTTGAACTCAAATCAAGATTTAGCTCTGGGTTAAAAATTAGAAGGACAAAAAAAAAATATGGTCAAGAGCTGGAAAATCATCATATTTTTAAAATTCCTAAAATATGATTTAGTTGCAAAATTTAAAACTAAAGGCTATTTTTTAAATGAGTGTCTGAAATTTAGCCACCCACGTAAATTATCCAAACTAGACAGATTGTATTTATAATTTTAATCCTAATAAAAAAATTTAAAATATAAAAACTAATAAAAATATTTAAAACAAAGAAAAAGTGAACTTCTTAAATAGTAACTTAAATTCATGAAAAAACCTTTACAATACAAAAAAAATAAACAATAAAATAAAATGTAATTAAAAAATGTATTAAATTTCCATCGACCCCTATCAACATTTCCTATATCTTTGGGAGGGTTCGACATTGATGTAACAAATGAATTGACATTTCCATAATATCGTAAAAAAATCGACAAATATTGTAACATATATATATATCAACACGAATATCGTGAATAAGGAGATAATATTAATATTAATAATTTTTAACTTATTTAAAAAGCATGAAATGTTTATTTGTTAGTTTAAATGTTAGTTTAATTGTTTGAAAATAAAATACGACTTGCCGCGTTGAGAGATTTATGTTACATCTTTCTCTCAAAATTGTGGAAACATGAGTGGGCGACTACCTTGAAGCTCGACCAATTGTGACTTGATAGCTCGATCAAACCCTATTGGTTGAAGGTAAGTTTCATGCGTCGAGTCCGACCTAAAGTAACTGCCTAACTGAATCGCAAATGGCTTAACAAAATGGTTACACGGGCTCTACCACTTGACACCCTATAAATAAGAGCGTCACTCTAACGTACGCAATCTGATTCCTCGGCATGAGACCTAAGATCGACCTCTTACTATGACTTTAGTGTCGGAGTATTTGATTTCTTTGTGCAAGTCATCTCTTGCTAAGCTCACTTCGAAAGTTCCACCGTACCCAATCCTCACAGTTCTCGAGTTATCATAATCCACCATAAACAGCAATGAATTTTTTATTTTTATAATTTTTTCAACATTATCCATCAATATCAACATTTCATCAATATTTCTATCAATATTTCCATAAAATTGAAACTTTGACATTTTAAAACCGAGAAATACTAATCTAATAATTTTTAATCAAATAATTATAAAATAAAAATTAATTTAAAAAAATTGTCAAATAGACCCATTCAGAAAGGCTTGATCAATCGAAATGAATTGATCAATAAAGGCAAACACATAGACTGAGTCATGAACATCATTTTGAGATTGGGAGCATTAGCGTCGGATTACCTTAAAATTTTCAAAACGAGGATTCCAACAAGCAATAGCCAAGTTGAGTATTGTGTTGGGGAAAAATCCTAGTATAATATGAAAATTCCAGTATATTATACTTAAATTTTCGTGACATTTATAAAATATCATAAAATTCGTAAAAGATGGTGGATCCAATTTTTTTTCCACAAATATTGTGCCTCCATCATTTCATGACATCTTTTTTTGTCATTGAACAATTAAAAGAAAAAAACTAAATTCGTTATAATTTTTAACCTCCATAAAATTTTAAAAATCAGGAAATTAACGTTTTTTCAACCAAAAAACAAGCGTCGCACAATTTGTAGCATTTTTTTTTGTCAATCTTTTGTACGGGAGGAAAGAAATATTACAATATTATTTCTTTTAGTACAACAATTTTGAAATATGGAATATGAAACTTCCAACCTCGAAAGAATACATATCAATTACCATTGAATTATGTCCTAGTAGTATTAGAAAATTTACCCCGTAGTTTATATTATATTTACAATTTCACCCAGAAAACCATGAAGTTTTTGAAGTTCCATTCTTAACCCATCAATAGCTGTAACGTTGTAGAAGTAAGTGTATAACTCACATAATGCCAAAACGCAAATTGTTATATTTGGCATTTTTCAAATTTCATACACTGCATTGGAACTAATGGATTACAAAATACAAATTACCAACTCTTGCTTCTTCTAGTTTCTTGTTATCTTGTGGGTGTGCTCTACATACCTTACCTAGCCATATATGGATTGGGATTGAAGGATCCTCACCACATTCACATGGGATTATAATCCTATGTGAAAACAAAACAAATAAAATTTTCACAAAATTTATTAAAAATTGACCATACATACCCTTTGCAAAATTGGGACTTTTTGTTTATATATTTTTATATTTGTGTCAATTTCGTGTGGTTGTACTTTTCGAAATTTTAATTGGCAATGTGAATGTAATTATAAACTAATATGGTGCTGACAATATATTTTAACACCTGTGACAATGGAAATAATTTGGATTACTAAAGGGTATATATCAAAGCGATTTTAACATGACTAGAATCACGTTTACTAATACTAAAATTACTTGGAGTTTAAAGTATACATATTTGACAATGATTCATTATTGATTTTGAAAAAGTCCAAAATTACTTCGTGATTCTCGAAATGATTTTTGGTAAAAATAATTAATAGGAAATTAGTTTTAAAATAGTTATTGGTTTGATTTGAAATTCATCTTTCTATTTCACCTTAAATTTTGAGAAAATTTATTTATTTTTCTGAACTTTTGTCTCTTTCTAAATTTTGAGTCCTCGTATAGTTATATTTCTAAGTTTATTTCTCTCTAAAAATTTGTTTTATTGTCTCTAAAATTATTGAGAGGGCTACTAAGATATATATATCATTTTTTTCATAATAAGTATACAATAAATAATGTTACATGTTTTTCTTAAAAGAATAAAAATAATAATAATAGGAAAAAATAATGTTACATAGTTTTTCAAATATATGATATCAATTTGGTGATTCAAAAATCATTTGAAATGAAACATTAGTCATAAAAAAATCCCTTTCAATTACATAAAATTGTGTACTCAAATGTTAAAGAGATTATATAAAAATTACTCTCAGAAAATCGCTTGTCATTAAATCGATATTTTAATTCACTAAAATCACTCCTAAAATAATTGCCAAAGATTCCTTAAATAAAAGAGAAAAGAAAAATCAAAATTTATCCACAAATTTGACAAGGTGTAACCATAAAATTTTCAACTTCATCAAATTAGAACCTACACTTTATTATTAATTTTTTTTATTCCTGTATTATAGTCTTTAATAATAATTGCAATTTTTACCATTAGTTTGTATTTTGCTAATTCACTCACAAATTTTAACAAAAATCAAAGTAAAGCCTCTAAAATACATACTAATTTCAAAGAAATCTAAGTATGCTCACGAAATTAAGTTTGATTAATATACAAAATAATAACTTTATCAAAACTCAGAAAAAAAAACTCCACTATCGTTTTTCCTCTAAAATTCTATAAATTTCATACCAGATGTGTTTTATAATTCATTTTTTGAACGATTTTTCAATTAAATTCAATGTCACAGAGTAAGAATTACCACATTTATTCAAGTTTAAGGTAAAAATTGTAACATTTTTCAAAATTTAAATGATAATAGGATGAAATAGAAAGTTAGGATAAAAATTGATACATTTTACAAGTTCAGTGTGTATCAATTAATTAAATAGACAAGCAGGCCAAAACGAGTATAGCTCAGCGGTAATTGGTATCGAACTCCAACTCGATCCCTCGCYCCCATATGTTGTATAAAAAAAAATCTTGACTTTAATGCAAAAGTAATTATTATTGGACTAGGCTCGAATTTACCTTACTTTTGTTTTTACTAGATGTCATTTTTAATTCTAATCCTCAACATGATTATCCGTGAAAAGGGTATTTATTTAGTTACATGAATAATAATTTTGAAAATCTCAAAAGTATAAAATAAGATTTATTAGTATGAAATGAGTTGGACAAGAGGAGTGAAAAGAACATTAGAATATAATATATATTCTTAAGTTGTGGATACAAATATTAAATTTATGTTGCTTATCAAATTCTCTTTAAAACCATTTTTTATTGAATTATAAATTTATACCCTAAATTTTAATGATTGTCTCTATTTTTTCATAAACTTTCTAAATTTTTAATTTTGATTCCAACGAATTCCTATCATTAATAATATTAGTTGTAGCCTTCATTTTTTTTAACAAGGTCAATTTATGGAGCTGCTTCCATGAAAAAAAAAAGATTGCGACATTCGAGCTAAATTGAGTTTTAAAAAATCCAAATAAAAAGTGAATTGGTAAAATGACCAAAATGTAAAATGGGGTTTTGAATGAAGTTTAGAATGTGGGGGTAGAAATGGAAAATGGAAAAGAAGTTGAAAATATAGAGGGCTAATAAACTGATTCAACACATCCAACAGGAAGATTCTTATAAATAAATAAATACATATATTTAAATTATATATTCTTACCATATATAGTTGTCATAATAAAATATAAAAATGAAAAAAAAAAAATCATCATCCTCTGTCATGTCTCTTGCCTCCTCCAAATATTCTTGCACCAGTGGATTTGTCAGTCTTTCTTTCTTTCTCTCTCTACCTTCATTTCATCTAAGAAGAAAATTGGATTTCTTTTGATTTATTTAAGGGAAGTGGCAAAACCAAAGAAAAGATAGAAAACAAAACAAAAGGAAGGAGAAGAGAGAGAGAGCGAGGGGATGAGCACATCCTCTGTTTTCCCTTACTAACTATTATTCCTCCTCCTCCTCATCCTCTTCCTCCTCCTTTTCTTAGATCTTAGTTTCCAAATCCCTCATTCCTTTTTTTCTCATCTCGATCCTCCGAATTCCTGATTTCCCATCTCTGATTCTCTCTCTCGCATCCGATGGTTCGAGGTTGAATCTGTTTTTTTTTTAATCTCTTTTTTGTGTTCGAAGCGCCAGTCGGATTCTGTCTGAATTTCCAGTTAAGAATCGTCCATTTTGTTATGGTTTAACTGAATCCCCATCTGGTCTGTTGTAATTTTTGTTATTGGATTGGATTGGATTTTTTTTCTGTTTCGGATTCCGGATCCGGTTGTGTGGTCCGAATCGAATGATTTTAATTTGAAATTCGAATTGGGCATTTTGCGCGTTGTATAATAAAATCGAATTCGTTGGGTGATTGAATGTTTTGATTACAGAAAAAAAAAAGGATGGAATCGGATCTTGGCAAGCTCTTCATTGGCGGAATTTCGTGGGACACTGATGAAGAACGTCTCAGGGAATATTTCGGCAACTATGGGGAAGTGGTGGAGGCGGTGATCATGAGGGATCGCGCCACCGGCCGCGCTCGTGGCTTTGGTTTCGTTGTCTTCGCAGATCCTGCTGTTGCCGAAAGAGTCATTTTGGAGAAACACGTCATCGACGGCCGCACTGTGAGATTTCTTATTCTGATCATAATATTTGTGATTATTCTTGTTTCAACTTCTGATTTCGATTTCCTAAGGTTGAATGTTGAATCTGATTCTGCCCATATTTTAAGATGTGATGCGCTTTGTGTATGCACATCGCGTACGATATATTGAATAGCTCAGTTGTGATTAGTTTACCTGAAGATGAAGTTGGTTTTCTTCTTTAAATATATAGTGGCTCCCAATTTTTCAGGTTGAAGCTAAGAAGGCTGTTCCAAAGGATGATCAGAACATATTGAACAGAAATGCTGGCAGCATTCATGGTTCGCCTAGCTCGGGGCGCACGAAAAAGATTTTCGTGGGAGGTTTAGCATCGACGGTCACGGAGGCTGACTTTCAGAAGTATTTTGACCAGTTTGGCACAATCACTGATGTTGTTGTTATGTATGATCACAGCACCCAGAGGCCAAGAGGTTTTGGCTTCATTACTTACGACTCGGAGGAGGCGGTCGATCGAGTGCTGCACAAAACCTTTCATGAACTCAATGGAAAGATGGTTGAGGTAAAGAGAGCAATCCCAAAAGAGCTAACCCCAGGGCCCAACCGGAGCCCTCTCGTAGGATATAACTATGGTATGAGTAGAGCTAGTGGTTTTCTTAACAATTATACTCAAGGCTATAATATGAGTCCTCTCGGAGGTTATGGAGTCCGGGCAGATGGTAGGTTGAGTCCAATTATTAGCAGTCGAACTGGGGTTCCTCATTTTGGTGCTGCTAATTATGGAGTGGGTATGAATTTGGAGCAAGGGCTGAGGCAAGGCTATGGTAGGACTGTGAACATTATGAATACTCAAGCACAGGAACAAATGTTGAATTCCTATTATAATGGCAATTCGAATAGGTACATTACCCCGATTGGCTACAGCGGGGGCAATGGAAGAGACGATTCTCCCTTAAGCTCGAGTACATGGAATGTCTGGGGAAATGGGAGTATGACCACTCCCATGAACACGCCTGGCCCTGGCTCTTTCTCTGGCTCTGGATCGGGGAGTTTTAGAGTGGCATACGGAAATAATGATGACAACTGGATTTCTGCTGCTGCTGCTAATCATGTTGGAGGGAATGCGCCTGGCTATACTTGTGCAAGCAATGGTTACGGAATTGGAGACAACGGCTTTGGGTTCAGAGGAGGAGGCTATGGAAGAAATGGAGTCCCGAGTGCAGCGACAAGAAAAGCATTTGCTGAAACAACCGAAGGTTATGAGAGGTCGTATAGGGACTTGTATCGTGATGAAGCAGTGCACGACGATTCAACTTGGCAGTCTACAGCTCCTGAACTGGATGGTTCTGTGTCTTTTGGTTATGGTCTTGGTAACCTTGCTTCAGATGATCCAGCCAGAAGTTCTGAGAGTTTTCTGGCAAGTTATGATGTTTCAAACAGACAGTCAACTAGAGGTAACCCCTTGGCTTTCTTTTCTTTTAGTTGGATGATTCATAGTCATGATTAACCAACCAGGCCTTAAAATGAAAAACTCATGAACTACACACACAATACAATGAAACTTATGGTTTCAGACTAAATTCTTTGCGCTTTTGGGCAAAGAAATTATACGGTCATGAGAATTGCAGCCTTAGAAGACTTTGAATGAATGAATCTGAAATTCGAACCATTTGGTATTTGTATTATCTTTTTCAGGAATTGCTGCATAGAAGATTGTTGTTTGGCTTTCCAACACGATTGGAGTTGCATATAGTGCAATGAATCGAACATACGAAGGAAGAAGGATTCGTGATTTTTATACCGCTCGCTTGAGTTGATGAGCTAAAAAAGGGAAGGGAAGGGGAATACTGATCTCATAACTTTTGACTTGGTTCCTCGATCAGAAGCAGAAGCAGGAGCAGACATATTTTTCAAAAGAAAGGTGAGAACCGAAATTCGAGCATTGTAATTTTCTTTTGCATTTGGTTTTTGTTTAACATAAGACATAGGATTGTTTTGTTGGCATTTGATTGAGGTGTAAAACAAACCAGATTGGCAGATAGATACTCCAGCAGAAGAGTGATTTTCCAATTATTTTTATCATGCATTCATCTCCAGTGAGGCATGGGCCGCATGGCAGTAGTAATATCATATCATTAAATGGGAAAACAGATGATTTATTTTTTCCTATACATACATATATAATATATCTTATCTTTCAATTTTTTTGTTACTCTCAGATGATTGTTTGTGAATAAATGAGTTGTTTTAGAGTTCGAGAATCTGTTTGCCAAAATGTCAATTGGGGTGTTCATATCAGATCTTTATTATCCATTTTGTATGGCCATTTTATTGATTCTCATCCTTGAAGATTAGGATATGCTTTGCTTTGCTTTTGCCTTTTGCATCTCTTTCTTTGTTTGTCCTCCAAAGCCAATACCTCAAGAATTTAATGCTTGTGGTCCTGAATCTGTTGCTGAAAGAAAATTACAATCCCTCACCCATTCCTTCACTCATCAAGCACACACCAATGACCATATATATGGATAAAATGACAGCTCTTCTTCTTTCTTTTATTTGGCCTTAAATGGGTCCACACCAGGGTCCTTCCCCACATGCCTTTTTATACCCTCTTCTATCCATATAAAACATTTATTTATTTAATATTATTCTTTTAATAACTGGGAGTCAGAGTTTTGCTCCACTGAAGGGTTTCCGTGCTGGTTCCAAGATCGAGACCTAAGACACATTAAGGTTTTTTTATATTAAGCTCATTGGAAGGTTGAACTGAGACTTCTAAGCCGGTAGAACCAAGAGACCTTAAACCCTTGTTAGCAAGGTTGTCTTGGAGCTATATATGTACCCTTTTTTCTCAGATTTAAATATTATTAATCGAAAATGTTTATAACTAGAAAGATTAAATTGTTATATAATAAAATTTGACACTTAATTTTAATAAAAAATTTTACTATAGGGGTTGAGTTGTTACAAATTTTAAACTACAGAGACTAAATCGTTATAAGCTAAAGTTCAGGGAGTAAATAGTTACTTTAGTCAAAGTATAGGAATTAAATCGTTACAAATTAAAGTTCAAGACTAAATTGTTACTATAGTGATAGTATAGAGACCAAATGTGTTTTTTAACCTTATAATTCAAATTATAGATTCAGTTGGTAATTTTTTAAAAGTTATAATTTCGTTACCAATATTCGCCAAAGTACATTCTTTTCCAAACAGACATAAATGTAAATACATTGTAATTTTTGTATGGCTCAAATATTTAATATTTTTTTATACTTTAAGTTAACTCAGTTTATGTCGGGCAATTTGCATCAATTGTAATTTTACATATTCATTGTCCTAAAAAAAAGGGGATCTACCTATTTATTTTTTGTTTATAATTTTAAGAATTTAATTTTTAATATTGGTTGTTTTTACTATCTGAGAGTAATTGAATTTTCAATTTTATTTTAACTAGTTTTTGTTCACGTATATTTTTAACTAGGTTTTTTTGCGTGTCATTTGTGGTATTAGTGCAAGCAAAAATATAGTGTTTCCCGTCATAGGAAATTAATCACGTAATTTATGACCTATTTGAACATAATTCAACTGGTTTAGATATATATACTATACAAAAAGATCAAGGATTCAAATTTCTAAGCTCAAGTTGAACTACAAGTTATCCGTAGATATTATTTATTCACTTATAACAAATTTTATCATTGATTTTAATGTTTTTAATCAAAGTTCTATTTGTGATATTTTTATATGAGGGATACAAATAAATTTTCTAATTCTTTAACAACGTGTGTTTAATTAGAAATGTAGTTTTAGAATTTAGGAAAACATTCAATTTTTACAATTAAATTTGTGCGGGTGAGTCAATTTGGACGTTGAACTTTCAATTTCATTAATTTAAACTCTAAACTTGAACAAGTGTTGGAATTAACACCTCTTCTAAACTAAATTTAAAAATTGTCCATGAACCAACTAATAAATCATAAAAACTTCTTAAGATCTGGGTCATGTCAAAGAAATGTCCAAACTCAATCACGAAGTGGATACTTGAATTAGAAGAAATAAAATTGAACAAATAAAAATAAAACATCCCCAGAATTAGAAGAAGTGGAAATTTGTACCTAAATGTCATTAATGTGGAGTTAGGTTATATTAGACCAAATTGCTATAAATTGAAAAATGCTCCTAATTTTTTTGGAAAAAGAAATTTCTTCCATAAACCAAAATCTTTTCATGCTTATAGAAAGAATTTTGATGTGAAAAAGAATGTGCATAAATTTCTTCTAAGAGAAAAATTCATGCATAATATATCATGTTTTTCTTGTGGTAAATTTGGACATAAATCTTATGCTTGTTATTTGCCCAAATTGAATGTTATGAAAAATAGAACTAAAAAGAAATGGGTTCCAAAAGTTAATTCTAATAACCTACATGGACCCAAGAAAATATGGGTACCAAAATCTTTTTTAAAATCTTTTTGTAGGTTGGCTCCAAAATTCAAATTTGAAATGTTGCTTAGTTCAAAAAGGAAATGATCACAAAAGCAATTTGTTTATGCAAGATTTGCACAACGGTCCTTTTTCCGAACCTAGCTCCAACCCGGTCTCCGGTCCAACCTGAACATTAGAGTGGACCTACACAAGAGGGTAAACACTCTGACGCTCAAGTCAGTATAGGTCGAACTCTCTATTTAGTTCGAGGTGAGATTCGATACCTGAGCGTGAAATGAAGCCCTCTATTTATAGGTGATGGATCCGACAGTACACACGACCGGCGGTTACTTGTCTTTTCTCACATCGGACCTGTCGGGTCTCCCGGTAGGTCGAACCCCGAGCAGGTCGTATCTCGCTTTCATACTTAGCCTTTTTGATGGCCGCAACCGGTCTTCTCGACGGTTCAAGGTGGACCTGGTTCTCCAATCATCTTTAAAGCACCAATGGCTGTCCTCCACGTGTCCAGGGTATTTTTACCCCCAAACATTGGCCCCCTCTCTATCAGGCTCGATCTCGATCTGGCAGAGAAGTTCATTCGACTCTATTTTGGACACATGGCGACTTTTAATTCGTTGAAGGAATATGACCGTTGCAGAAGATATATCGACCTGCCAAGTCATCAGAGCATTCAAGTACTCCATCGCTTCGGATCTCGAGATGATCCTAGCTGCTTGTTGATTACACGTGTACGGTGCAGAGATTTTTCCGATGAGCTATAAATAGCTCCGATACTTCAGGTCATACCTTACGTTTCCTGAATTCTCGGAGTTCGATCTGAAGGCAGCTCGAACCCTCGGTAGGTCAGTCTCTTTCCCTTTTTCACTTTCTTTTTCAAGCGTAGTCCTGTCTTCCTCTTTTAGCAGTGATAGCTTAGGATCCGATGAGGGTTTAGCTCGTAGGTTAGAGTCCAAGCTCGAAGAGATAGAGAACTTTAGGTTTTCTGATGATGAGGAGGATAGTGACGCTTCCACCTCGGGTCAGGGTTTGGAATACCCTTCTAGGATACCCGAGCACTTCCTCGGACCCCTTCGTAGGGGGTTCGCTATCCCAGAGAACATCCTCCTTAGGATTCCGGAGGAGGGGGAAAGAGCTGATAATCCTCCAGAGGGATGGGTCACTCTTTATCTCAAGATGTTTGAGTACGGCCTCAGACTTCCTCTGTATCCTTTCGTTCAAGAGTTCTTGAACCGAACTGGGCTGGCTCCGGCTCAAGTGGCCCCCAATGGATGGGGTGTCATTTTTGCCTTGGCCATCCTTTTTTGGTTACGAGCTCGGGACAACGAAGAGGCCGAGCTGTTGGATGTTGGGCAGTTCCTCACATGCTTCGAAGCGAAAAGGATAGCCAAGAAGCCTGGTCGGTACTATATGTGCGCAAGGAAGGGCGCATGAGTATTAGTAAAGGGGCCGACTTCCATCAAGGGATGGGTGAAGAAGTGGTTCTTTGCCTCTGGGGAGTGGTTGGCAAAGGACGAGGCTGGTCATCCCTTCTTTGATGTTCCCACTAGGTTAAGGAACCTAGGTATGAAGTAGATCATGCTCCTCTTATTTTTATGATTCTAAGCTTCTTTTATTCTTTTGTTGCTTAGATCTAACTCAGATATTGTTCTTTGCAGTGTCGATCAGGCTAGTTCCCGAACTCACTCAAGCCTCCTTTGACACGCTGAAGTATTACAAGGAGCACTTTCCAAAGGGCAAGAAGGTCGGAACCTTGGTGACTGATTACGCTTGTTTACATGCGTAAAAAGAAGGTTTTAGATGCTGTTTTTACAATGTTTCAGCTTTGTTTCGGATTTTTCTCGATCGTTTGAGTTCCAATTCATGCAAAATTCATATACTATGGTTTGTGGATGGCTTATATGGTATTTATGACATTTTAGGACCATTTGGGAGTGCAAATTAATCAAAAGAAGCGAAAAGACGAAAAAACACCTCAGGAGGCGCCAGGCGCCTGGGAAGCCTGCAGAAAACAGTTTTTCTTCCAACTTTGCCCTTAATGAAACGCATCTTCCAATGCGTTTTGGTGGTTCCAACCGATGCATACGTGTAGAAGAAGTGTTCCACTATCAGTTTGAGCACGATTTGGTCAGTCAAAAGAGTTGGAAATGGGTGATTCACCATCGTTTTAGGACCTACCTAACCAATTCTGCACAGC